CAATCTCAGACCAGATTAAAAGAGATAGGGGGGGAGAGAGAGAGAGAGAGAGAGAGAGAGAGAGAGAGAGAGAGGGGGGGGGAGAGAGAGAGAGAGAGAGAGAGAGAGAGAGAGAGAGAGAGAGAGAGAGAGAGAGAGAAACAACCCAGGAGGGGCACCATATCCAGCAGGATTCCACATATCATTGCTTTGAGATTACGAATCAGTTAGGATACCCAGTCAGCCATCACTCTTCCCTTGCTACCAATGCTCTATTGCTCTACCTAGAATAAACAAATTAAGTAAGACTCATTCCCATTGATTTTTTTCTCCATGAGGCATTTGAAATAGCAAGTGAGGGTACTCTGGCATTCATCAAAAGTAGCTTTTCACCTATGTGATGACTGGGCAATGTTCTCTGAACAGGTCACACAAGCTATTTCTCATGTTGTATCTGAAGGCTTCATCCTCAAAGGGGGAAAAAAAGGCACACAAGGTCAGCTTGCACTTATTAGAGGCAAGCGGTATCCAAGAAGGAAAAGAAGGCAGAAAGTCAGGTCAGTTTTGCCTAGCTTCAAGAGTCATTGTTGGAGAACTGACCCTTTTCTCTTGTCAGAGGGATCTCAATTTGTAAACACTGCTTTCTGAAAAAAGATGGAAAGAAATCAAAATATTTATAATACCTGTCTCTGGGTAGTGAGAGGGATGGTGATTTATTACACTTTATCTTTGTATTTTTTCAATTGTCTATAAAGACCATACATTTTGTACTGAGGAAAAAGAGAAAAGCAAGAAAAAAATTTCCAAGCCAGGTGTGGTGGTACATACCTTTAATTCCAGGCTTGGAGGTAGAGGCAGGAAGACTGTGAGTTAGAGCCCAGCCTGGCTACAGAGTGAGACTCTGCCTCAAAACCAAACTAAGCCAAAACCAAGCCAAAACAATTCTACTTGACTGATAGAAAAATCTAGACAGGACCTCTTTAGGTTAACCAAGCAAAAATAATTACTAAGCTAATCTAACATAAAATGAACATTAATGGAGCCCTAGCCAATTATAACCGCTCTTCCCTCAGAGTCAGTCACACAAGACAAATCTTGATCTCACAGAGGCCTATCTCAGCTTAGTTAACTTTGCCTAGATGAGAACAGCCTTCTAGCCACTTCTTTGATCCCTACCCCTTTCAATTTTGCATACAATAGCCAGTGGTCTTTCTGGAGGCAAACATGTTCACATTTTTTTTTTTTTTTCCTACTGTAAAACTCTTTCAAGATGCCCACTGTCCAAGGAGTAATGTGAAAGTCTCTAACAGGAGGCTTGCCCCTCCTTTCCCTGTTCTCACCAGTGTATAATAACTACTCTTCAGACTCTATTAACCTAAGGCTGGTCTTTCCACCTGAGCCAGCATTCCTGTCTCCTTCCACCTTCCAGGATATTCAGCCCAACAATGATTCCTTTAGCATATTTAGTTTGTGTCTTTTAGCTTGGGATGGGATTTCATATCTACATCTAAATGAGCTCAATTCGCCCCCGCCATCCCAACCTTTCCTCTAGGCCCCATATACATTCCAGGGGTATAACTTACTTAGCACAAGAAGAGCTCTTGAGAAAGAGGGAATGGTCTCTGGCTCTTTTCCTCATGCATGAGTTCAAGTTCACATTCAGCCTGTTTGGCTAACTGGAGGTGTTCAGGGTACGTTTAAGAGCCTTCTAAAATATCCAAGAAAGCCTAAAGAATTTCTATTCTAACAGCTGTAACTTCCTCTTTACAAAGTCTATTTTTATTTATTATTATTAATTTATCATTATTATTTTTTATGTGTATGTGTGTATTGCCTGCATGTAGGTAAGTGCACCTGTGTTATGCAATGCCAGTGGAGAACAGCTATCTGAACCCTAACAGCTGTTGGATCCCCTGGAACAGGAGTTACAGACAGCTATTAGTTCCCATGTGGGTGCTAGGATTCGAACCTGGGTCTTCTGCAAGAACAGCCAGTGTTCTTAACCGCTGAGCCATCTCTCCAACCCGCAAAGTCAATTTTTAAAATAATTAATTCTGAAGCCGTTTTGAAAAGCAACAGATAAATGCACTAAAGCCTACCCAAAGTTGCTGATCTGAACAGAGTAGATTGCAAGACAAAACAAAAACACAAATTGTCAATTAATGCTACTTCAGTATAATTTGATATAGACGTAAGACTTTGATAACTAATAAAATCTTTGAAGCTCTCCCTACAATTGTGAGATTACAAGGTATCTGCCAAGATAAAATAACAATTTGACCTCTGAATCAGTTCCCTAAAACACCACGAAAGATTAAAATGCCATCTTTTTATTTAAGTATACCTCATGTTGTGCAATGAATTGCCAAATCTACAGAGGTTCAAATACTGCTATAATCCACATCTGGTCACAATGGGTGGGGGCAGGGATAGGGGCTAGAGAAATCATTAAGCAATCTGAGAACTCCCAAAACAAAGAAACTGTAAAATTCTGTGCCATAAAGCAAAGGAAACACTTAATCCCTCAAGAGTTGCCGTATGTATTTCAACTCGGTTATCCCTTCCCTTGCAGGACACAGTGATACACCAAAACCTGGGGTGACACAGGATCTCTACTGTGTGCAAGTGGCACAAAGCCAGCTTGCCTCAGCACTGCTGGCACCTGTTGGTCTAATCATCTGAAGAGCATTATTCTATGCAACACAGAAAGGAGGTGAAAGAGGCATGGAGGAGCTGGAGAAAGGAAATTTGTTTTGCTTCTTCTGCCTATCAGAATACGGTGACTTTAAAAAGCAGTTTTCACATGTGCTTTCTATAAGTTTTCCAAAACACCTTGAAAGATTAACATATTTCCCCAAAGATTATAGTATACCTTTGAACTTTAGACCTGATGCAACTGAAGAGGGAAGTGAGCTGTTTATTAGAAAACAGTCCTTAAACCAATTTTTTTGAACCCCTTTAAGGAACCTGCTCCTCACCCTTTTGGGGTGCTGCAATGAGGTGCAAACAATGTGAGTGCATGTCAACCTCAACAGAAGTTCTCTGCTGCCATTTTCTCTATAATACTAAATATTTTCTTCCCAACCCCCTAAAAGTATTCTGAAATAACTTAAGAATCTATGTTTTAAGAACACATATTCTTTAATCCCAGCACTCAGGAGGCAGAGGTGAGTGGCTCTCTGTGAGGAAAAAAAGTGGGGAAATATTAAAAATTTTATGTGTATGAATGTATTATGTATATAAATGTATGCATGCAATTTTATTACACAACATGAGGTACGCTTTTTTTAAAAAATGATGGCATTTTAATCTTTTGTGATGTTTTAGGAACTGATTCCAAGGTCAAAGTGTTATTTTATCTGCATACAATGTCCAAGGAGGTTAGAAGAGTGTGTCAGATCCCCTGGAACTGGAGTTACTGATGGTAGTTAGCCACCATGTGGGCACTGGGAACTGATTAGCGGTAGAGCAGCCAGTACTCTTTAACTGCTGAACCATCTGCCCAGTTCCAAGAACACATATTTTCTAGGTGTTACACAATGTACTATGCAAATCTAAGTGGAAAATATGATAGCAAATAAAAACAATGAATATTACTTATAATAATAAATAATACTTGTATTAAGGGAGAATAGAAAAAACTAGGATACTTTTAAAGGTCTACATGGCAACATAATCATCCACTGGAACACTAACAGGCTTTAACAACTGTTGCTGTTCCTACATTTTCACTGCTTTGCTTTTAACCTCACTGAAAATGCCTCCAAACTGTGTCTGATATGCTCAGAATACATATCTAAACGTAGAGTTGGGCTGTCCATGTGTGTGGGGGTGGGGTGGGTGAAGAGGGGGTGGCAATTCCTTTAGTGAAAGATGTAAAAAGGCTGGAAATTCCTATCATAAGGCAAGACATTTGTCATGCATGATAGATAGAAATACTGGGTAATTGCCCAGAACCCTCAAAATGTAAGCACGCTATAGTTCCCCCACCCTCCAAGCTGAAGAAAAATCTGAAGGAGTGGGTGAGCAGCAGGGCCACGGTGCTGTGGAGCACACCATGTGCACTTACCACCTTGCTGGGTGACCAGCAGACAGCTGCACAGCCAATCCGCAGAGGAAAAGTTTGAATAAACCCAAAATATTTCCGAGTCTTTTGGACTGGGGCAAATATTTGCTTTTTTTTTCAGTTATGTGAATAAATTCAAAATTATCAGATGTTGCCAGAACAAAATGTAAGCACGCTATAGTTCCCCCACCCTCCAAGCTGAAGAAAAATCTGAAGGAGTGGGTGAGCAGCAGGGCCACGGTGCTGTGGAGCACACCATGTGCACTTACCACCTTGCTGGGTGACCAGCAGACAGCTGCACAGCCAATCCGCAGAGGAAAAGTTTGAATAAACCCAAAATATTTCCGAGTCTTTTGGACTGGGGCAAATATTTGCTTTTTTTTCAGTTATGTGAATAAATTCAAAATTATCAGATGTTGCCAGAAATCACTAAGGCATATTAAGTTTCATTCTGAATTTTTCAGTTCCTTAATTTTAAATAAGAAAATTTCAACTCAACTAAGTAAAATAAAACAAGAGGAATTCATTTCTAACTCTTCTGTCAACTATCAGTTTAACTCCAGAAAGCAGGTAAACTTTTTTAAATGCCCCAAAGTAACTGACATGTGACAATGATTTTTTTTAGAATATGCAGCTTAGATGGGTGGTATTTGGCCATTAAATTCCAATATTAAAAGAATCACAACTGATTTCAGATTTCTGTGTTTCCTGTCTGAATCAAAGTTCTGCCTCAGATATAATTCTCAGGACACAGGAAATATATGACGCCCCCACAAAGCTATGCATATAAAATGGCAACCAGAATTTGTGACAAATGCAAGTTAAGGGAAGAGTGTTAAAGTTTTTATGAAATACCCCACGAATGAAATACCCCACCAAAGAAAAGCTTTTGATTTCATAATGAGACATTTTGAGTTTTTATTTTAGTTTTTGAGAAACCTAGATTAGTCTCCAGAGGGGGCTCACTGTTCCTGGAGGCTCTTCAATAACAGGTTGATGCCTGGAGTCCATCAAGCAAGTTCCCATTCCATTTCTCTGATCTGCTCTGCTCCCAAAATCCATGTAAGAGATTCCTCAAATAGAGGCAAAATCAGATATTAAACTTATTAAAACAGATACTACACTTGATCTTAGTTTAAAGGCCAAGCAGAGAGTCTTATTTTGAGTTCTGAATACTGGGGTTCAGGCTAGTGGAAAGATGCCCCTTGGTCCTAATTAGAGATGGAAGCTAGAGCATCATGCAAGCTAGGTAAGCACTCTACAAAGAGCTCCACCCCAGCCTCCTTTCACTTTTTATTTTGAGATATGGATAGCACTAAGTTGCCCAGGCTGGCCTTGAAAGTGGAATCCTCTGGGCTCAGCCTCCCAAGTATCTGGGATTACAGGCCTACACCATCAGGCCCAGCTGGGAAGACGATGTTCAAACAGATATGCCTTTAGTGCTTTCGTTTTTGTGGTGAGGGGAGACACTGAAAGCAGAGAATCAAGCTGGGTGCTAGCAATGGGCTTCCTAAATATCAAAGAAATCTGATCCCACATCTACATTGAGCAATATATAATATCAAATTTTATAGATAAAACATTTTGAAACTTACACGAGTATATTTCAAATCAGAGACCATACTTTAGAAATGTCACATAATTCTCACAATTAAATCATATATATTTACTTTAAAGTCATATATATTTACTTTTACAATTGCTTATTTATGTATTCATATATATATTTGTATGTATATGGGTACATGCATGCCATGCCATGATACATGTATGAAAGTCAGAGAAAAACTTACAGGTGGTAGTTCTCTCCTTCCACCATGCTAGCTCTGGGTATGGAACTTAGGTTGTCAGGCGTAAAGGCAGGTATATTTACTCACTAAGCCATCTCACCGGCCTCCTGAAACTTTGAAATCCTATACTTTAAAAATCCATATTATAGCCAGGCGTGGTGGCGCACGCCTTTAATCTCAGCACTCAGAAGGCAGAGGCAGGCGGATCTCTGTGAGTTCAAGGCCAGCCTGGTCTACATAGTGAGTTCCAGGACAACTGGGGCAATGGGGAGATCCTGTCTCAAAAAGAAACAAAATAAAACAAAACAAAACAAAACAAAACAAAAACAACAACAAAAAAACTATATTACGTATTGTTTCTCTTATGTGAAGCACTACAATTCTATGCATGTATATATGTATACAGTGTATCTGTATGGAGTAGCATGTGTGTCCTGTGGCGCACATGTACAAGGCAGAAGACAATTTGAGGGAGTTGGTTCTCTCCTTCTACCATTTGGATTCTAGAGATCAAACTCAAGTCATCAGGCTTTTTGGCAAGTGCCTTTACTAGCTTGAGCCATCTCACTGGCCTTGAGGCAATGAAATCTAACTTACACAGGCCAGGATAGAGCATTAACAATAACTACTCTAATGATCACAAAGTTTAAAAGAATGAAAAGGTAAACAGATTGATTAAATGTAATTAAATCAATACGACAATGTTAGAGAATAAATGCCTTTATAAGAGAATAATCTGTGATGCCATTTTTTAAAACAATTACCATGCTTCTAGACGACAGTGACTTTTACTCCATAAAGAGAATAAACTGAAATGGTCCCTATTCTTCCCCAGGGGAGTCTGTAGAGGTAAAAATACAAATGTCAACAGACATTTGATGATAATTATTAAAAAAAAAAAAACGTGATCAAAGACAGATAAACACTACAACTTACAGTTAGTCAAATCTTGGGCACTATTTATGTGTAAAGATTAAAATAATATGTGACTAACAGCAATGAAAGAGAACCTAGCATAAACTAATGCAATTTTTCAAAATGATAGCTCTAATAATTAATTACATTTGAGGCATCATTTCTTTATCATTTATCTTAATGTGATGACATGAATTCTGCTGAAAGTTATTTTTAAAAGAAATTTACCACCACATGATATATTGCACAGCATAATGACTATAATTACTAGTAATGCATTAAATGCATCAAGCTAGCTAAGAGTGGATGTAAGAGGGCTAGTCACAAAGAAATGATCATCTCTGGTGAGGATATGCTAATTAGAGTAGTCTGTCATTCCACAATGTACACATATATAAAAATAGCAATTAAACCACAAAAATATATACTATTATTTGTCTTTTAATAGACATTAAATAGAATTTAAAAATACTGAAAGCTATGCAACGAGAAAATCAGATACAACACTGCAATGAACAAAGGCGCTGAAGGTCACTGACTGATGGATGCTGAGCACAGTATTACACGCCATTTAATGATAATTTTGTGTTTCTTCCTAACAGGTTACTATTAAGAATATAAACTGCTTGGGCAGATGACATGGCTCAGCGGTTAAGAGCACTGACTGCTCTTGCAGAGGACCGGGGTATGATTCCCAACACCCACACTGTGGCTACGAACCGTCCTTAACTCCAGTTCCAAGGGAATCCGCAGCCCTCTTCCTCCTCTGCAGCACTGCACGACGCGGGTGCACTCACACACTTGCAGGCAATACAATCATACACACATAAAAATAAAAATAATATTTTAAAAAAGAATATAAACTGCTTAAAAACAAAAATGGGAATATGAAAATGAATAGTCTTATGACTGAAAGGGGAAAATGTATTTATAAAGGTCAAAACAACTAATGAGTTGTTTCCGAAAGATTCTACTTCTGAAACTATACGTGAGGGAAAAGACAGCAGAACAGAATCAGGTGCCAAATAAAAAAAAACTGTCTAGTATGAGAGGAATGTTTAAAATGTGGTAAAAATGACTTGAAATATCAGGCAGACACGAAAAATAACCAAGATGACATTTTAACAATCTGGGAAAAGCCTTCAAACTAATATTGTAATTTATACGTCAACGTTTGGTTCAGAGTGGTAGGTCTATGTGTTTTCTGTTTTCAAATTTTCCTTTATTATAAGATGGAGGCAAGTCATACACAGAGAATAAATAATACAGATAGATGTGGCCATGTCCTTCTTAGAAAAGATTTGTGCATGGTTTGGTGTGGAAATTAAAAAAAAAGTCAACATTGCATTTTCTAAATCACATTAAATATTTTAGATTTTCCAAAACACATGAGAGATGTAAAAGTTTCCTCATAAGCTCCTTTGAAGGCTCGTTTGAGTCTGTATAAAGCTGGCAGCAAGCTGATGTGGAGAGAAGCTCCTGTTGAACTGTTTCTCTGCTTGTAGAGGTCTCTGCTAAATACTTTCTAGGGCTCTGTTGGTTTAAGCACTGCTGCAGCTCAGCAGCCCATGCCGTTCGGAACCTCTGCTCCCCTTCCATCATTATTTTAGTACACTCTAATTTGTTCATGTTACACAATACAGCAAAATAGGCAGCAATCTGGTAAACACTGCTGGCCAAAACCGTTTCTAAGTATCAGAGGCAGCACAGGATCCCCTCAGGACAAGGCTTCAATGCACCCTCTCTACTTTTCCACTTAGGTCTGTAATGCTGTGGGTGAAGTGTTCCAAGGGAATCATACTTGTGTGTGTGCACAAGTGTCTGCATGCATGGAGAGGCCAGGGAACAACCCGAGATGTTGTTCTTTGGGCTCCATCTACTTTGTTTTTGAAACAGGTCACTCACTGGCCTGGAACTTGCCAAGCTCCAGTAGGTTAGCCAGTTCCCCACCTCCCCAGCTACCTGTCTCCACCTCTGCAGTACTGGAATTACAAGTGCACACCAGTATACTGTGCCTTTTTAAAACTGGTCCTGGGGGTCGAGCTCAGGTCTTTGTGCTTGCAGGGCAAGCACTTTATTGTCTGAGCTATATACTAGTCCCACAACGCAACTTCTATACCTCTACTGGCATAATTTCATTACTAAGGAATCTGATTTATTTAGGCATAAAAATGTTAAGCCGGGCGTGTGGTGCACGCCTGTAGTCCCAGCACTTGGGAGGCAGAGGCAGGCAGATCTCTGTGAGTTCAAGGCCAGCCTGGTCTACATAGTGAGTTCCAGGACAGCTGGGGCTACAGGGAGACCCTACTTCAAAAAGACCAAAAGAAAAAAAAAAGTGTCATTATTTCATTTGAAAGTTTTAAAGGAAAATCTGAATAATAAAATTTAAAAACCTTTTATTCTTATCAGTTTTACAGCTGAACAATCACATATATTCTTAGCTATGGATTATGTGCTTAAAGCAATATTATTTCGATCGAGCCAAGTGGCAAGTTGGTATTGAACAACTAGTTCATTAAAATCATTAACTAACCTCATAAGGGTTAAATAATAGGCCAACTGATGGTGAATATTCGTAACTTGGAAGCAGTGCAAATCTAGTTCGCTGAGTCCTGGAATGAGTATGAGAGATAAGCAAGAGGAGGTGTACCAGTCAGAGTGCGCTTCCCACTGACCAGCTATCACAAGAACCAAGCTATTGCTTTTCAGTCAGAAATCATTTCCTACCACCAGTTCCTGCACACAGAGGGCTCACTGCACCAAGTACAAGTCTAGGGCATATCTTATGTAACCCTCACTACAGCCCTATTTTGGCATTTTCTTTCTTTTTTTTTTTTAAGTGTAACTTTTCCTTCCTTTTATTTAAAAATTTTATTTCTTATTTTTAAGTGTATGCGTGTATTGCCTGCATGTAGGTAAGTGCACCTGTGCGTGCAATGCCTATGGAGGACAGAAGTGTCTGTCAGATCCCCTGGACCTGGAGTTATGGACAGTTCCCTCCATGTGGGTGTTGGGATTTGAACCCAGGCCTTCTGCAAGAAAAGTCAGTGTTCTTAACCACTGAGCCATCTCTCCAGCCCTATTTTGGCATTTTCATTATGTTAAAGAGACTCAGGTTCAGAAGCCCTAAATGACTGAGCTCATGCAGCTCAGATCTGACCACCCTGGGCAGTGAGTTAGGTTCCCAGTCTCAGTGTTTCACCATTACTTTGGATATCATGCACACTGCGGTCATGGCCCCATGTTGTATCTCCTAACTGAATGTAGTGGTCACAAAAATGTTGGCAACAGTAAAAAGTTGCTAAACATAGAATATCAAAAACCAATTCAAAATCAAACACACGAAGAATTCGAGGTGCTTCTTGCAGTGCTTGCCCATGTTGCATCATGTGACTCCACCGCAGCCTTGTTTCTGAACACATAGCATGTGCCCTTTGTACTGCACATGC